TAAGAATCAGAACCTACTCGATAGCACTTAACAACAACAACGTGATGGCTGGAACAACGGTTGCATTGTCAGGGCCAGACCAAATGATTTCGCGGGCCACATATAGCTCTCATGCAGGGCGTTTCCAACCCCTGATCTAGAGCAATGAAGCTCAACGGGGTGGATTACTCCCAGAGTCCAGACATTTGGCACTGTCTGGAAACAGCTAGGGAGAGAGGGTATTACTGGTATCTAGTGGGCAGAGGCCAGGGATGCTGCTATACAGCCTACAATGCACAGGACAGCCCCCCTCACACACACACACACACAACAAAGAATCCTATAGCCCCAAAGCGCCAAAGCTGAGAACATGTGGTGTACAGCTTTGCTCCTACTCAGACCTACCACCTGATCCATGGGGTCGCTGGAGTAGTAGTGTTCTGAATGGGTGCATCGGATCCACACGGGTTTAAGCAGCTCTTCTTCCTGCTCCTCACTGGTGTCCGGCCCCGTCTCCTCAGGTCCCTTCTCCTTGATGCACACATAGTTCTTCTCCTTGCCTGAGCTCTGGTTGTCACTCCGTCTGTCTTTGTCATCCTCCCAGCGAGTTCTCTTCCTCTCCCTGCTTGGGGACCGACTTCAAAGCGGGCAAAGGAGGTTGCTTATTAAAAATGTTCTTCCATCATAAAAACAATTCTATTCCACCTCTATTCCTATTTCACCCAAAATGCTGTGCCAAACCGCCACCTCTACTTTTGTTAAGCTAGTGATTCCCAAACATCAGTCTGGTGGCATCAGAAATCACCTGATGTTTACTTGCTTAGAAATACAAATTCCCAGGCCCTACCCCAGGTTTACTTACTGATTCACAGTCTCCGGGGGTGGGGCCCCAGAATCTGTATTTTTAGTAATCTCCCCAGGTAATTCTGGTGTGCATCCAGGGTCGGGAACAACTGGGAAACCATAACTCCTAAAAGAGAAAGATACTTGGAAATACGAGGGGATCTCAAAAAGCTTGTGGGAAAAATGAAAAGATATGGAATTTTCCCCGCAAACTTCTTGAAGCTCCCTGGTATTTGGAAATCTCCACATGTAGACCATGTCAGCAACAAAAACACTAGTTCGTTATCGTTCACAACTCTTGCTTCGCCAGGAGAAAGACAAAAATCTTTTACAAAACATAGTGTCAACGAGGCATAAATGGAGCCTGAAGACTACAATGTGAAAGGGAACCGGTGAGATCTTCCAAAACAGCTCCAGCAGGTTCAGGCTTTAAGATCCCAGACATGGGCATTATGACTTAGTGAGTCAACATGATGTCTAATTTAAATCTCTACAAATATTAAAATTAACTCAATTAATAATGAAATATGAAAAATGATGTCATCTCCTAAAATTCCTGGGGCTTGAAATTTGCAAAGCCCCTACCTGGGAGGAAAAGCCTAATGGATTTTTAGTTAGAACAGCACAGTCTGAGAATCCAGCTAAAGAAAATACCTGTGTCTGCTAACAAAGTTACCACTATCTACAAAAGGTTTTATTAGGAACAAAACTCACAAATTAACTCCTCTTCACTAACTGTATCACTAATTTCTAATTTCATGACAGGAAAAGTGTGTGTAGGGGTATACACAATGGGGCAAAGTGATTATAAAGATACGTTATACACTTCAATTTCTATTTTTATATCACTTCTAAAGTTTACAACTGTTGTTGTTAAGTGTCACCAAGTCGGTTCTGGCTCATAGTGATCCTGTATAGGGTTTCCAAGGAGCAGCTAACAGGTTTGAACCACCGACTTTGGTTAGTGGTGGTGGTGGTCATGTGCCGTGGAGTCGATTCTGATTCCTAGCTACCCTGCACAGGGTTTCCAAAGCTGTAAATCTTTACGGGAGCAGAAAGCCTTAATCTTTCTCACGCAGAACGGCTGGTCGTTTCGAATTGCTGACCTTGAGGTTAGCAGCCTGACTTGTACCCACTACTCTACCAGAGCTCCTATGGTTAGTAGTCCAGTGTTTATCTTACAGTGCCACACATGGACTCCAAATATTACAGTGGCATCTTTAATTTTGTTACCAGAAGAAAGGATGAATTTCAAAGTAAAATGTATGCATGTTCACTATAGAAAACTGACAGAAGAAAATTAAACAAAAATCACCCATTTCACCTGAGATATCACCTATGTTTCACAATTATGTTAAAACCTAGAGATATCTGAATAGAAATACCATATTTTTCACAAATAGCATGCACTCACAGATAGCACACATAGTGAACAAAGGAAACTAATGCAAGGGGGTTGCCACAGTTTGCAGAAACCATACAATGCGTACACTATTTGCATTAAAATATGGCAAATGTAGCCTACACATACCTTCCAAAATAAAGGCAACACTACAATCCTCTTTTAAAGAGCCTTGGAGGCACTGTAGGATAAGCACTAGACTGCTAACCACAAGATCAGCAGTTCAAACACATCAACCGCTCCACGAAAGAAAGACGAAGCTGTCTGCCCCATAAGGATTTATAGTTTGGAATAAGTTTGCTGTGAATCAGAATCAACTTGAAGGCAGTGGGTTTTGTATTTCGTTTTTTTGTTTTTTTGATTTACAATTCTATTTTATAGTCTGTTCTTCTCATTCAGTAATGCATCAAGAACATCTTTCTATTTCAACATATCTCTATCTGAACCATTATCAATAGATCCATATTATTTTTATGTGAACAGGACCATAACTTACTTAACAAATCTAATGATGGTCATTTTGGCTGTTCCCACTTTTTTCTCCTGTTGCTTGTGCATGTGTGTGAATCTTTCCACATTTGTCAGATATATTACAAAGGGTATGTACTTTTTTAGGGCTTGCCTTCAGATAAGTAGAGCCAATTTAGACTACAAAACAAAAACCGTATGAGAATCCCCATTTCCATACACTTTGTCAATATAGTTGCTTTTAATCTTTGTCATTCTGATGAAAAATATTTCATTTAAATTTCATTTGCTACTTTTAATCACTTCTGAAATGAAAACATTGGAAAGTTTACTTCTTTAATGAACATCTCAGTCACAGGCTATCTCAAATACTGCTTTAATTAAAAGTGGTAGTCTTTTACTATTTATTGAAAGAGTAGGTTATGTTGACAAGAATAATCACCATTGTTCTGTCATATATATTGTAACTCCGCAGTTTTTTATTTTCTTTTTAATTCTGTTTGTTTACTGCAAGATAAAACTTTACAAAGTCATATCTCTACTTTTTAAACTGTACATTTTTCTGACTTAATGTTATGCTTGGAAAACCTTTCCCATCCTGAGGTTATAGGAGTATTTTACACTCTCTATGGCTACTTTTAACATTAATTTTTTTTCTTCTATATCTCTCCAAGTGTGAAGCAAAAATCGGAGTTTTTCCACTATATGTGCCAATTTTACCCATATCATTTTCTCTTAAATTGAAAAAAATGACTTTATGAAGATATAAATTTATATATACTTGACTGTTTCTGAGTGTCTGTTTCATTGATCGAAATATTTATTTATACCTATGTCCCATTCTCATAATCATTATGCATCTATAGAATACTTTAATAGGACTAGGAGTCCTGGTGTGGCGTTGTGGCTTAATGTGCTGTATGCCATAGTGCAAAATTGGTTTGAACCACAAGGTCGGTATTTCAAGCTTACCAGTTGCTCCTCAGAAATCCTATACAGGGTTGCTATGGGTCAGAATCAACTTAAAGTGTCACTTAACAAAAACAGTATATTATACTATCGCTATAGTAGCTCTGGTAGCGTAGTGGTTACAAGTTGGGCTGCTAATCTCGAGGTAGGCAGTTCTAAATTACCACCCATTCCACAGGAGAAAAATGAGCCTTTCTGCTCCCGTAAGATCTGCAGCTTTGGAAACCCTGTGCAGGGTCGCTATAAGTCGGAACCGACTCCACAGCACATCACCCCCACAACCAGTATACCATTCCTACATTACTATGTTTATTGATTATGTGAACTTCTATTCCAAAGAGGAATTTAAGACTGGTTATGAAGTTCTAAAACCAGTACCTCAACTAACGTTACCTTAAGCTTATAGATTATTTTAAAGAGAGCCATTCTTTTTACAAAATGGTCTTCCAGTGCAGTAATATGGCATGTCATCCATTTGTGTACATCACCTTCTTTGCCTATCAGCTCGGCTTTAGTTGTCTTCCCATTGGTCCTATAGATTTTTGTTACATTTCAAGATATTTCACATTTTCTATAGTGAATCTCTTTTTCCCTTTTGCATTTTCTAATTAGTTATTCCTGGTATTTAGGAAAACAGCTCTGGTGGCATTGTGAGTTAGGCACTGGGCTACTAATTGCAAGTTCAGTGATTAAAACTTACCAGAAGGCCCAAGGGAGCATTAAACATTTACAATCTTGGAATCACTCCATAAAGTCGCTGAGTCAGAACTGAGTGGATAGCCGTGGGTTTGGGGTTTGGTTGGTCTTTAGGAAGGTTATTAATTTTGGTATGTTTGTACTATTTTAATGAACAAGTTTTCATAGTTTCTTAGCTGATCCTCTTGAGTTTTCTGTTAATACCATCAGCCCATAGTGACAGCTCATAGCTTTCAGAAGTTTTTGGAACTTAGTGTGAACCTGACGTCTGCAAAGCTCTTTATTAACATTCTCACAGTGAAACCTTTTAAGAACCCTAGAGGCAGCTCTCAGTATCCTTACAGAGGAGGGAAGGTACTGCCCTGGAGATCAGGTTAGAAGACAAGTGGAATTAAACACTACTTCGGTGTTTGACGTAGTCATTTGGGCATATTCTAAAAATCCCACCAAATGTTCAACCATTTGCTGTTATCAAGTAACACAGACAAAAGACATCCTTACCTGTCTTGGATGGTTCATGGTTCTATGTTGTGAACAACAATTAGTATTTTATTTTTAACACCATGAGAGGGGCATTTCAAAAACATTTTTTTTTTAGTTGTGCTATGAGTATTTACCTTAAAAGAGTAACTTCTGCATTCCCAATGGATTCTTCTTAAAAATATGGTATATTTTTATAAACTTTCCCTCCTTTACAATATCTAGAGCTCTCATTTTTATTTCCTCATCTATTGCATTGGTTAGAACTCATAGAAACCAAGTCTTACTTTACTCTCTAAGCTACAGGCAATGAAGGAGAGACCACTAGACCACGGAGACATCCAGCATTCCAAACGGAAACCATCAGCTTCAAGCAGGTCACCAACAGACTCCAGTCTCCTCTCCTCCTCTCTCTCTGATCAAACTCTTCCTAGTAAGTTTCATCTAACCCATGGTGTTGGTGTTTCCTGTTTGGATCGCTCTTCTAAACTTTGCACTTGTATATCAATTGACTACCACACAAGTCCACTTGTTGTCTCACAGATTCTCAAACTCAGCAAGGCCAAAACTCAGCTCACCCCTTGCCTCTTTTTTGACGTCCCCCAGGCTCAATAGGAAACACTAGATCTCTGGTGATCACTCTCAAAGCCTCTTCCCTCTCTCCTCACACTTCACACCAGCTTCCAGTCAGTCCTGTGGACTTTCTCACAAATTTCTCTCCAATATGACTTTCTCCTTGACCACTATCACTGCCCTAAGCAAGGCCACATCATCTCTCTTGTGGATTACTACAGAAATCTTCCAGTTTCCTCATGTCCATACTTGACCCTCTCAAGCATTTCCCCACACTGCCACCTTCATGTTCTCTCTGGCCCACCACACTCCTCTAATCCAGACAGCAGTAAAATGACAATTTCTCTGACTATCCAAGACTGAGTTGGCACCACTGGGTGTTCCCAGTACAACATGCCATCCCCCTATCAAAGCACTTTACTTTTCCCATAAAATGGGGATCTGTTTATTCATCACTCTTACCCATACCCGTACAATCCCTGAAACACAAAAGAATCCGCAAAAGTCATCACTCTCTCAATGGCTGAAACAAAAGACAG